GAATTTTTTCCTTATAGGTGTGTTTAATTTAAGGACATTTTTAGCATCTTACTTTATATTTGCTCTAATCCCTGCAGAGCATGTGTCCTGATTCTTATTTTTCTGTCTAAGAAAATGGAGATTGAACTTCTGAGAGCTTTTAGTATGTCTGGAAATAAGCCTGATTATTTATCTGCCTACAGTGATGTTCAGACTTCAGGAACTCCAGTTAATGCACGTTTGGACTGTCATTCCAATGAGATGTGTTCTAGGATGTTCTTAGGCTGTGGCTGGTGGAGTTGGAAGGTCATCAATCATATGTTTCTGTCCTGAGCATCAACAAAAGAGTATGCCAGCCCCCTAGAGAAAATATAATGTGTTTACTCAGTTGGAGAAACAGAGCTGCTGAAAGCAATAGTCTCTAGAAAATACTGGCTGAGACTGCGTGGTTTAGGAATAAAACTCTAGAGAAATTAATAAGAAATGTAAACATGGTAAAATTTTAGGGGGAAATAGGTTGAAAGAAGTGGTGGGGAAAATGTGATTCCAAGGAGGATGGGAAATTCAAGGCAGGATGGGAGAAATTAAGAGTTAATACTCAGGGCTGGCTGCAGGTCATTTTTTCTTGAATATTCATGAGCCGTGCTCTGTCACCTCAGCACATCTTTCCTTGCACTGCCTTCCTTTTCCCCTTAATTTTGTAAAGACAGAGGCTATTCCTTTTTTTTTTTTTTTTTTCCACAGGGTAGTGAAACAGTTCAGATAGAGGATGTTATGTGTCATGTATAATCACTAAGATATTATTACTAGATGAGGAGACAGGTGAAACCAAAAAAGCACTTGTTCTGCTCACTCTCTGGCACCCTTGAAAAATGTCATTCAAGATACGTGGAACTTGGCAACAGTGCCAAAGAATAACCTACATACTTGTTCCCATGCAGATCTCCCTGGACAGCATGGCTGAGCATGTCAGGAGCCTGTAGGAGTCCCAGTAATGGGAGTGGCTTAGCAGTTGTTCCTCTGTTCACCACCACCTATTTTTGACTAAATACCACTTTGCCAGCATTGTGAGTCTGATGCCCCAGTTTCCTTGAGACTCATAACAGGCCCTCAGCTTTTGCCCACCCAGCACTGTAGTGCCCTGTTTTCCACCTCACATCAGAGCAAGGGAGGAGGTTCCAAATGCTGAATGTAGGTTGTACCAGCAATGCAGCACGCCTAACCTTTTGCACTGTGGTTTTGTACTAAGCTGGGTAATGGTTATGCTGCAATTGTCAGCGTGTGAGCGCAGAGCAAGGAATGATTACAGGGCTTTTTAGCACTGGCCTGTCGGCAGCTGTGCTGCAGCCCTGCAGGTGTGGTTGGGAAGAGCTTTGGTAGGAAACACGTGCTGTGCAGCCTCCGATCCTTCTGTGCAAAAAAGATGTGTGAATTGGTACAGATGCGTCTGTGTACCCTTGTCAATCAAGCAGAGCAATCCGGAGCATGAGGACATAAAATCTGTGCTTTTTATGTTTCAGCAAAACCCAATACAGACTGTAATTTTCCCCTTGTCACTGTACCCTGCAGGCAGCAAACATGCTTTGCTCAAGTATCTGGATTTATAACTCTGTCGCATTGCTTTCTTGTGTTCATAGTTCATGAAGGGCACTTTTCCCCATAGTCCCTAGCTGGACCAAGGAGGATAAGTAAACAGAGATTTGATAATTAACTAACTCAGTGCTGCAGTGCACAGCTATTTTCTTTTTTCCCATCATCAAGAGATGGAACACCTTGCTTTCCATCCTCAGAGCTTTACTGTTCATATCGCTCTTGCAGGGCCTCAACCCAACTTTATCTTGCTTGATCTCCCCCCTGCCAGCCCATTCTTTAATACTGCTTAAAGAAAAGCTGAACTTAAAGTAGTATGCTAAACATTTGTCAAATATTAAAGGCCAAAGTAAATAGGAAGAACCCCCACTGGAGCTGCATAACTCTCTGACTATAGAAGGGCCCTGCATTAGCTCTCTGAACAGCCAGAGTTAGATGGGATTAATTCCACCCTTAGAGATGTGCCATTTCAACAGTGCAGAGCCGTTTACATCTCACATTTTGTTGTAAAACTCGGCCTTAATGTGTGCATTGTAGCTGCTCCACTGGCTGGAAATTCATGGGCATATTTACATCTGCTTCCATGCAGAATTGTGTCCCCAGAATCTGATTAAAATGGCAAACAGAAGGCAATGACAACAAAAAAAAGTCATACTATTTACTTTGTAGAGCTATAAATTGTGTTAAAATGCTACGGGATTATTTGTTGTATTTGGTACAGTTTGACTAGCTTGAAAATGATGAAGCTCTAGAATGAAAAAGAAAAAAGGTGTTTAATTTGTTGTAGGCTTCTAAATATACTATTTACTACTTGGATATAAAGTTGTTATTTTTTTAAATGATAGTAAAGCCAAAAGCCACATGTTATTATTTTTTTACTAATTTTGGTAGGGTTTGTTGTTTTGTTTTTGTGTGTGTGTGTGTGTGTGTGTTTTGTTTTTGTTTTTTCCCCTAATAAGAAAAAAAATTGTGGTTCCCTCTCTCGCATAAACTTATGTCAAACTTCAGGTTGAGGGGCTATTACAAGTAGATCTAGATCGCTTTTCAGAACTAAAGGAGTGTATAAAATGTTGCTTATTTTTTTTCCCTGAGGACTCCATTTTATTATACAGATGTTAATGAAAACAGAAGAATAAAAAGAATGTGAGTAATTACTGAGTTGTCCTATGCTTTTCTTTCTGATTATTGAAACAGTCTTCAATTAGTGAATGAATATTTCTTATCATTCCTGAGTTCCTTTTTTTTTTTCCTAGTGCCTTTAGGATTCACCTTCCGTATTGTGGTGACATTAAAATGTGAGGCTTTCTAATGCATGTCTTACTGGAATGTAAAACTGGCGTGGCTGGAATGTAAAACTGGCATGCGGTTGGGGAGTGACATTGTAGCTTGAGTAAAGGACCTGTGCCAGTTCCTCCAATTCATGTCGGATTCTGGGGTGGGGATACAGAGAGTTTAAGAAGGCACTGATCCTTTGTTGGAGTTCAGATTAGAACAAAATGTGATTGTACAAAAGATTTTGAAGTTCCAGTAGCAGGGAGGCTCTATTTTAGTATTACCCTATAAGTGGAAGGTCTCTCTCTGACACCAGTGAAGTTTTGAAGCTGAAATCAACCACATTTTAAGAACTTCAGTGGAATTTAATTAGTAACCAGTTGAAGGTATGCTGCTTTGTGATGGTAACTGTTTCATCAAGAAATGAGAGCAGACCCAGCTGCCTTTAATCCGTATAACTCCTCTTAATGCTAACTCTAATGATCTTCAAAGGAAAGGCAAAAGAAAATGATTGGCAGTGAGTCTTCATGTTAACTCTCCCCGCTGCCAACCTGGATGCATTCACAATGAGGCTGCTTTTTAATGTAGTACTGTTCCCTGTTTCCCCCAAAATGCTTTCCTCTTTTTTGCATCTCTGGGGATAAGGGATTTGCCTTGGGGCCATACGCCTTTGTTTGCATAACACGTTCCCTGTGTGTTTATTAACATACTGTTAAACTATGTTCTCAGCATGAACAGGCATCCTTTCAGGCCATTGCCTGGGTCCGGCCTTGCTCACGCAGCAGAGATAATCACTGGAACAGAGCTGACTTCTCGCTGGGAATGTGACTCCACTCACAGCAAGGGAGCAAATAGGAAATGACTTGGGGCAAATCTCGCTAAGCTGGAAAAATGAATTAGACACACTCCTCAACAGACTCTGAAAACATTACATCCAGTGAAGAAAGAGAAAAGGTTAGAGCAAGGGGTTTGCTTGCTGTTCCCACTTTAGAGTTGAAATACGTTTACAGATACATTATACCTCCTTGTGATGTGAGGTTTGTCTTTCAGATGTGTCACAGTAGAAGGAATCCACTCCCTGAATAATGCTTCCATTCTTCTATAGAGATCAAATTTTGAGGTAAGTAGTGTTGGAGGTTAATCTCAGCACTGCCCTGTGAAAAACTTTAAAAAAAATTTGGAAGTGAAATTGTGGAAATTGCAATGACCCTCAAGATGCCATCCTTTACAACAAGCAGTAAAAAAGTTAGGCTACTCAGACTTACCTTAAGTTTACAGAACATAAATTGCGACAATTGAGCTGCAGGCTTTATACTCTTAAATCACATCATTATTTCTTGGGATATTGGAAGAGAAAGTAGAAAATAGCAGATTTCCATCCATCTCAAGAAATAATAACAGTCTTACTGATTGTCTTCAGTATTTTGCTACAGCATATTAGGTCATTTTTAACCCCCTCATTTTAAAGAAAGCTTCTTTTCAAAACATATTTGCTATTTAGGATAAACCATGACATTGACAATTTACTTGTCTGATAAGGTGAATCTAACACGCAGGTTTATTTTTGGCTGGACTCTAACACAAAAGGCACTGATAGTGGAGGTAAACTCAGAGAAGGCCATGGAGCTATGGAATGATGTTGATTTATACCAGTTGAGAATCTAATCAAAACACCTCAGTATCATAAAGTAAAAGCTAGAATTTGGTTTAGAATAAAAGTGGGGAAAATTTTATGACGTCAAAAAGACAAATGGCTGTATGAATCAAACAAAAGGAAGAGTAAGAAACTGTCAAAATTGACAAGCTCCTGTGAAAACCACTTTGCTGTATTAACTCAGTTACTGATTTAAAAACAGACCAACTCCATGACCACAGAGAAGGGCAGTCCTTTCCAGTATATCATTAATGTTGTAATAGAGAAGTTGAATGATTACAAGATAAATATATATATATATTTTAGGGGGAGAGAGAAAAGGAAAGTTGGTACATTTTCTATTAACAAAAACTTATTAACCTAATACTATCATAATAGATCCCCATCAAACTGAATTAAAAACACCTTCATCCCAGAGCAGCAGATTTAAGCAGGGACTAAGTGGTACCAGCTGGTCTTTAGGCCTAAGTGCTTATGAGTCTCCACTCCATAATGGGTCAGAGAACGTAAAGAGCCCTCTGGAGAAGTGCTGGTTTGTTCTCCTTGTGTGCTACTTGTTGTGAGTAATGAGCTTTCTTCATCTTGTTCTGCAAGATGTATTTGCTAATTTAATAAGAGAGAGGGAGAGTGAGATGCTAATAAATAATGCTGCATAGATAGCAAATGATAACACAAACAATAGAAAGCATAGAAGAGAAGCGTGTGTTCCCTGGAGGAGAATTTATTGAACACTGGGATGTAACAATAAGAAGCTATGTTTTCAAATCTCTAAAGGCAGATTTGTGCTGCTCCAGCAATGCTCAGTAACTTAATTTCAGCTTAAATTTCCAGTAGAATGTGCTTCTGTGTAACTGACTCCCTTGGCCCTGCAAGGCTGCCACAAGGTATGAGGTGAGGGAAGAGCTGTGTCCCTGCTACCTTGTTTCTTCATAACTCAGGAAGTCTCCGCTTGAGTCATAGAAAGCAGCTCAGATGCAGCCCCAGAGAATGGGGTAAGGCTTGTTCTCTTTGTTGTCTTTGTTTTCATAACATGGGAGTAGAGAGAAGAGAAACTCCAAATAACCCATCCATGCATAAAAACAGGTCACACACCAGAGTGAGTTGGCTTCTGGTACTGATTTTGTTTTGACTAAGTATCTTTTCCTGAGGTAGTGTCTCTAACGTGGTATTTGAGGCATACATGAGTCAGCCTGTCTGTCCAGATAAACACTGTACAAGACAAAATCTGGAAGGTATAGGATTTGCCACGTTTTCTGTTTTCAATCCTTATGAATTTCTGTATGCCCAAGTTACTACATGGTCTAACTACCTCATGGTCATGTTTCTGTGCACAGCATGAGCATGATACTAATTCAGTAACATCTTAGGGGCAAATATTGCACCTGAATTGCCTATTGGAATTAGGATGCTTGCTGCCTGCAGCTTCTTCCCAACACTGGTTATCTCTCCTGCCTTTCAGCCAATTGAGTGCAGCTCCTGCTTCCCACCTAAATTACTGCTAGAAGTGGACAAAAAGAAAGGAAATGGTATGTGAAAGATCCCCCTTCCCTGTTTTTATAGTTCATGCTTGGATGGAGCAAAAATTAGCTGAAAATAATTCAAAACCTCATCTTTCAGGAGACTGACTTACCTAGAAACATCCAGAATATTTGGCTTTAAGGAACTACCTGCTTCTATTGAAAATGCTTCCCTCTTGGAGAGAAGGGATAAAAGAGAGAACAACATTAACTTATTGAGTAGATATGGGTTGCAATTTTTCTGTTATGGCTTATACAATATGCAGAAACACTTCTGTAAGTAAAAACAGGACTTTGTCTCCCTGCTCTTGGCTGAGCATCCTTGCTAGTGGGTTATACATTAGTGAGAGACGGAACCAGGGAAGGGCAGGAGAGGGATGTTCAGGATGCTGGTTTAGGATTTGAAATACTCGGTTTAAGTCTCTTTTGCAAGCTGAAGTGATTTGCCTACCGTACAGAAGCTTGTGATTATGCAGTGGCTTGTGCCTAGCTTTCCAAAGTCTAGGCTAGCAGTGTAATGACTTCTAGACTCAACAATTGAGTGTACCCACTAATCTAATCTAATCGGTTTCTGGCCTATTTTACAAATATAGGGTTCTCTAAGCAGTAGATGGTCTGCATGTGTATTACAGATTTATACTGTGGTATGTTTCTTTAAGCAATAATGCTCTTAGCCAAATAATTACTGATTTCTTTTTCTTTCTTTTTTTTTTTTTTTCTTTTTCTGGGCTAAATCAGAACGATAATATTAAAATCAAAACCTACCAAACTTATGATCAGAAAAGACTAAATGTGATCAGCTTCCGATATATTTATGAGCAGATGCCTTTGTTAAGGACAAATCCTATCAAGAGGAGACAGTGTGTACTTCAAGCCCCAGCTTCCACGTGGGTATCCCTTTCAGGAGTGCAACGTACTTTTCAGAGACTTAGGAATGGGTGGCACTTCTTTTTGTATGTATAATTAACCGTAATCATCCTATCTCCAAAGTTACATGTTACAGAACACACGAGTTCTGTTTCTATAGAGAGAATAACTAGATAATCCGAGGCGAAAAAAAGAAGTACCGTCTTTGATGCACGTTTACTTCTGAAATCTGCATGCTGGCAGTAACTCAAAAACTATAATAAAGGAAAAAATCTTTCTTTTCATTTCCATTTGCAAGGGTCAGTGAGATGTTCTGTGTTTTGAATGGAGCTGAAATGAACAATGTACATTATTTTTGTAACAATAATATATATGCAGTGCGCCTTGCCTTTTTCTCTGCATATTGGAGCTGCTTACCTGAACTTGCAGAGCTGGCAAAAACTGTTATATTTTCAGAACTGTAGCTAAAGAGCAAGGAAAGAAGTAAGGGCTGTGGGGAAAAAAGAAGGAAGCTTTTTTTTTTTTTTTTCCTGTGTAAACTTCTGGTGATGCAGCAAAGAATTTTAAAGCAGTTTCAATATGAGAAATGTCTGTAAAAAGCTGCATTTTGAGTATCTGTGCTATCACAATAATTTCTGCATTGACTCCATGTACTACTCAAACAAAATCAATGTGTGCATACAATATAAAAAAAATGATTAACCTTGTAAATATATCTTGGCATCTGAGGTTCAGACTGGTGGATTACTTTCTTTATTACCACCAACAGCAGTTGCTTCAAATATACTGGATCCAAAACTATCAGCAGCTGTAAGTGACAAAATGAAATTGAACACTAATATGTGTGATGATTTACACTGTCTTAGCTTGATTGTCTCTACAGCACTAATGGATTTGCAAAAAAAAACAAAAACAAAAAAAAAAACAACAAAAAAACAACAACAAAAAAAAAACATAGAACAAAAAAAAAAAAAACATTACAATACACAGCTCAGAAATGCCCTTGCTGAAATGAAGTTAGCTGCCAAGTTCTTAATTTCAGAAAAGAACTTGTGCAGGGTATTGTGAGGCTCTTCATCTTGGCTTTGAAGCTATTTTCTTTTGGACTATTCTCGTATTAATTAACATGTGAAGTGAGTGTTGCAACATGGCACCTGAAGGCCAGTTGTGAATGTCTGGCAATTCAGGAATTCAGAACATTTCCACCACAGATTTCCTCTCTTAGTGAAGCAGATTTCATCTCATCTACAGTGATATATTTTTTATAATGTCACAAATTGTTTAATGTGGTTTTAGTTTAGGGCATGTTGATCTCTGTAACAATCAATTTTTTCATTCAAGTCCAAAGTATGATTGTATGGGAACTGCTGAGTCACGGCCTGAACCTCTGATTGATCACCTGAGGTGAGCCATGAATCAGCCAGAGGAGCACAGGTAAAGGCAATTCTCATGTGCTGCCGTAAGGAGTGGAGCCAGGCTCCACCCCTCCTGGACCTATTTAAGAGCTGGCTACCAGAGGGGAAGGTTCTCTTCTGGAGATCCCCTCTTTTGGTGTCTTCTGGTGAGCTCAACCGAAGGGTAAGCTCTTCCACTTATTCTCTTTTTGTTATCGTTGTCTGCTTTGCCTTACTCTCTTGATTATATTGCGATTATAACATCTTGATATCTATTGATTATACACAATTATATTGTGATTATAACATCTTGGTTATACAATGATTAAGAGAGCCATTCAGAGAAGTTTAACTATATTAACCCTTGTTTTAAGGGATTATGGCATGAGAACAAAATAATCTCTGGGGAGGGAGAAAAGTCATCCATCTTACATGGAGGAATAGAAGAAAATGTGCCCATATTTACAATTCAAAGGCTACATAAGCAAATGGGAAAACAAAAAAAACAAACAAACAACCACCACTGTTTAAGTAATATGCTATATATCTAACAAATTGGCACCGTGTATGTAAGAGTATGATACCTGACTTGAACATTGCTGTGTAATTGGTCAAACTTATTTTTTTGGATTTTTGGGCTTGCCCTTAAACTGAGAGCTTCAGGAATTAAACTCAAATCTGAGCCAGCCTGTTTTGCCCAGTTGACACAGTACTGGCAGAATCTGAATTCATAAGGCCAAATTTGTCTGGCATATGTGTTTTTCTGGGATTTTCTGAAGTGTTTTTGAGGGGGGAAAAAGCTCAAGTGTGCTTACCTTGAGGTCTACTTTAAGTAAATCAGGAAGGCCTGTGAGAGATAAGGCTGAAAACAAAACAGCTCAGTCCTCAGCAGCATTTGTCCCTGGGCTAGTTCCTCCTGTGCCTCAGTTATACTTAATATTTATATTCAGTTCCTGAATCTCAGAAGACTCCTGTCCTCAGTGCACTCCTGAGTTAATCTGAGATATGTTTTCTTTTTTTCCTTACTCTTCTTGTTTGAGAGGAACCATTCAGGCAATCTTTGTAAGTAGAGTTTTTCTAACTCCTTGCTTCCATATCACAAAAAACTTATAGACTTGATCTTCCTTTTCACACCTTCTTTCAGTGGGTAGCATATGGCTAGAAATGTCTTCCGGAATAGGTGCTGATTTTCTAAATACTTATTCATATCTGTTCTCAAAGCATCATCTTTGACTGCTTGTTTTATTTTTTCAAAGAGTGGAAATGCAATGGTTTCTAGCAGCCTAATTAATCTGCTTGCCATTTTGATGCTCTTTATCACAGCTCTTGGACATTTCAGCCATCTACACAATGTGCTTTTATAACAAGGCTCTCTGCCTGGACAAAAATGTCTTGCTTCAATTCTGTGGCCTGAATGGGTTTGCCCATATGTTGCCTGTTGGCCTTTCTCTGTAGCAATAGACAGCCCCATGGGACGTTTGCAACCATCCATGAATCAGTTTAGAGTTGGAGTGCTAGCTGCTCTTGTTCAGCAATATCTGACTTTCACTTCTGGAAACTAATTCAGTTTACTTTTTCTTTTGATGGTTTCTTTGACTTGTCACGTGGGACTCCATACTGCGGTGTTCCATTTTTGTTGGTTTTCCATAACATGATAGGACCCCTCAGTAACTACATCATACTGATTCTCATTTTCGGGTAACTTATTATGCAGCAACACTTCTGTGGCATGAACCACCTTCTCAGGTGGTGTTCAGAAATTTGTACTTTCTGACCAGTCCATGATCTGTTCCAGGATTTTATGTAATTGGTTTTTCCCAGTTAAGCTCATTGCCGGATTAGTGCTACCCACCTAGTCAATGTAACATTCGTCAAAATGCAAAAGATGAAAGCAGACTTTAATGAAGTCCTAAAATTTGATGTACAGCAAGAAAGGGAAAAATTAGACATACAAAGAGAACAGTATTAAGAACTAGAAAGTTGTCAGTGACCAGCAACAGCAAGTAAGAACTTGTCAAGCCGCAGCTCAACTGGTAAAGCAACTGTGGATTTGACCAGCATGTGCTAGAATGAGTTTATATCTACCTTGGGTCCCATGTTGGTTGGCTACCAAGACTGACTTCCATGGATTGACCCCAGCCAACCAGTAAGCCCCACCCAGTCATTTGCTCATTCCCTGAAGAAGAATGAAGGAAAGAACTGAATAGACAAAAGCAAGTGGTAGCTTGCAGGTCAAGGCACAGACAGTTTAATAACTAAAGAAGGTATGAGAAAGAAATGAACAAAAGCACTCACAGACCAACACTAAATGAGCCTGTAAGCAATAGCAACCTGGGAAAAACTGCCCTCTGCCCCTGTTCTTACAACAGAATATGATACTATATGGAATGGAACTTAGCTCTCCTGACTGTGTCCCTTCTGCCAGTTGCTGGGGGCAGAGTGGAAAGCAGAGGTCTTGATACTGTGTGATCTCTGTTCATCTCTGGCTAAGGCACTGGTATGTTGTTAGTGTTACTTTGGTCACAAATCTTAAACATGGCACTATATGGTCTGCTATGAAGCTTAACCCCATTCCAGTCAGACCCAGCATGTTTGTAGCATCTTGTAGAATAACTGCTAACTCCTTGCTCACATCTCTTTTTTCTGACATTTTTTCTGACCGCTTGTCTTTTAGTTTTTCAAATTGTAGACATGTCTGAGGTAAAACTAAGCTCTGTAGAGATGAATTGTTTACTGTTTTGCAAGAAACAGCAAATCTGTGATGCACACCTAAGAAACCTAGACAAAGCTGATGCATTTATTTTTTTACCTGTGGTTAGAGACTTCAGGTGCAGACTATGACTGTTGTTAATGCTATTTAAACATGGAATCAAAACATGGTTTCTAGCCGTGGGAGAAGTTAACATTTCCATACCAGAGCTGATGATAAAGGTATCTGATTGTAAGTGTCCGGTGAATCAACATCAATGTGATTGGCAGCAGTTTTAACATACCAAGAGAAGAACTGCTGTTAACATTCAGTCCTGCAAAAATAGGGCAGATATGATTAAGGAGGGTAGGATTTTGTTCTGTGAATGTACACTGGAGGGGGAATAGGGTGCTAAGTCTCACTATGTGCTCAAGGGAAGTCTGACTTGATCCTGGTACTTGTAGACAAAGGAAGCATTGGTCCTTGCAGAGACCTGAGGATGTGATTGACCTCTAGTGTGATATAATGTACCTCAACTTCAAGGCAATTTTCTGCGCAAGTGAGCACATTTCAGAAATTCCTTATATGCAGGATCTTTTCAAAAATCTTAAAATCTGTGATTACCACAAAATCTGAATTTCCTCTGTAGTCAAATTCTATTTAAATTTTAGCAGAATAAAAACCCTTCTCTGATAAGGCTGTACGAACTACATATATGTCCCATTTTATCTTTGTACTATTTGCAAATTGATGTCTGGGGTTTCCCTAACTTAGGGCTTTGCATGTAAATTTCCTGATACAGCACTGGAACGGAAATTATTGCCTTATGGCAAGGAGCTTGTCTTGTACTTCAAAGGGTGTGTTTGCTTTTTTCTGGAGATGTACCTTCTGCCTTGAAAAGGTACCCAAGAATGGTTTTCAGAAGCAAGAGATGGAGATACTGGGAAATGCTATGTCAGCAGATCTAATGCCTCCAGACCAAATAATTCTAAAGTGTTTTGCTACTTTAAATTCCTCTGATATTTCAGCTGTTCTTAATATACTTTTGAATCTCTCTGAACTTGACTGCAAAGGCTTATTGCTATCTAAAAAAAGAAAGATCAGACAAACAAGTGGTTTTTGATGGACATTGAAAGCTTGGTTATTCTATTTCCTCTGAAGTATTATGATTTTCTCATAAAACCAAATTTCCCTTTAATGCCAAAGCAAGGCTCTTGTTAATAAGGTAAAAATGATGGCAGTCACCATTTCTACTCAAAGGAAAGGAGCTGGTCCAAATAAAATCCTACTTTGAGAAAATTCATCCCTCACCCCTCTATGATATCAGCTGCTCAAGTTTGGGAGTATGATATTACCCTAACATAGTGCACTACTGTCACAAGCTTTCTTTACTTTTGTGAAATGAAGGAATTCTTTTAAGCTAGGATAGCACACTTTGAATAGTGCTATGGAGACACTG